CAAATAGTGAAGTACTGACATTATACAATAGTTCTCGAACTTGCTGGGCACTGTTTACTGCCAGGGCAATCTGCTCTATAGCCCAGATGGCACCCATCTTTTCTCGCCAGTCGGCAACAGAGTGACTGTGTTCAATCTGGTAGAGTATGTGCTTTGTCCTAGTTCCATATCAACACCTCTCTCGAATTACAACTAATTATCATCTCAGGAACAAATCGTACACCCTGCCCTTCGCTCATCGCAAAAACATCGCTCGTATTGGCCTCACGCCCCGCGGCAACCTCCTCCTCTCCATTGACGAAGATGGCCATGCGATTTTGACCAATGTTCCTCGAAGGATATCCATCTACCACTTCTCTTTCCGATCTTCGGTCACAGCGCTCTCATTTTCTCCTTCTGGACGACATTTCGCCGTTGGACTCGGTCGAAGGATCGAGGTCTGGCATGTTCCCTCGACTCCCGATGCTTCTGCCGAGGGCGAGCTAGAATTCGCCCCCTTTGTTCGATACCACAGCCATACCGGCCATTTCGATACCGTTAGCAGCATTGAGTGGTCCAGCGACTCGCGATTTTTTCTCACAACCTCCAAGGATCTTACAGCCCGGATATGGAGCTTGACCCCCGAAGAGGGTTTCACCCCAACAGTGCTTTCAGGCCACAAGCAAGCAGTCATTGGGGCCTGGTTCTCTGAGAATCAGGAGACCATCTACACTGTTAGCAAAGATGGTGCGGTATTCGATTGGCAGTACGTCAAGCCCATCAACCGTATCGAAGACGAGGACAAGATGCAAGACGACGATGACGATTCGGATATGCGATGGCGCATTGTGCAAAGACACTACTTCATGCAGGGAAGCGCTCATGTGCGATGCGCTGCTTTCCACCCCGAGACGAACCTCCTGGTAACTGGTTTCTCCAATGGTCTGTTCGGCTTGTACGAGATGCCAGACTTCAACATGATTCACAAGCTCAGCATTTCTCAAAACGACATTGACTTTGTCACCATTAATAAGAGCGGCGAGTGGCTGGCATTCGGCGCATCAAAACTCGGACAATTGCTTGTGTGGGAGTGGCAATCTGAGTCTTATATCCTTAAGCAACAAGGCCATTTCGATGCGATGAACTCCCTTGTCTACTCTCCCGATGGCCAGCGCATTATTACTTGTGCCGACGACGGCAAGATCAAGGTCTGGGATATTCAGTCCGGCTTCTGTATTGTCACCTTCACTGAGCACACGAGCGGTGTGACTGCTTGTGAGTTTGCGAAGAAAGGAAATGTGCTCTTTACCAGTAGTTTGGACGGATCTATTCGAGCTTGGGATTTGATCCGATACCGAAATTTCCGGACGTTTACCGCACCTACAAGACTGTCATTTTCTTGCATGGCAGTTGATCCCAGTGGTGAAGTTGTAGCTGCTGGTTCCCTCGATTCCTTCGATATTCACATCTGGTCTGTCCAGACCGGCCAGCTCCTTGACCAGTTGTCAGGTCATGAAGGTCCAGTCTCGTCTTTGGCATTCACACCCAACGGTAACTCTTTAATCAGTGGTTCTTGGGATCGCACAGCCCGTATCTGGTCCATCTTCAGCAGAACACAAACGAGTGAACCTCTTCAGCTCCAGGCTGATGTTCTTGATATTGCTGTTAGACCAGACTCGCTTCAATTAGCGATTTCCACACTAGACGGGCAGTTGACCTTCTGGTCTGTGACAGACGCTGAGCAAACCTCTGGAGTTGATGGTCGAAGAGATGTCTCTGGTGGCAGAAAGCTCACAGACCGTCGAACAGCAGCAAACATGGCGGGAACAAAGAGCTTCAACACTATTCGATATAGCACCGACGGTAGTTGCCTGTTGGCCGGTGGTAACAGCAAGTACATTTGTCTGTATTCAGTAACCACCATGGTGCTACTGAAGAAGTTTACCGTCAGTGTGAACCTCTCGCTTTCTGGTACTCAGGAATTCCTCAACAGCAAGCTTCTGACCGAAGCTGGCCCAGCTGGAGAGCTCGATGACCAAGAGGCTTCAGACCGCGAAGACCGCGTGGATAGCACGCTGCCAGGATCAAAACGGGGCGACCCTTCAGCGAGAAAGAAGGCACCGGAGGTGCGTGTGACTGGAATTGGTTTCTCCCCTGCTGGCACTGCGTTCTGTGCTGCCTCAACAGAGGGTCTCCTGATTTACAGTCTGGACCAGGATATCCAGTTCGATCCCTTTGACTTGAACATGGAAATCACCCCCGCCTCGACCCTGGCTGTTCTCGAGACTGAGCAAGACTACCTAAAGGCTTTGGTCATGGCTTTCCGCCTCAACGAAGCTGGACTCATCAAGCGCGTCTTCCAAGCTATCCCCTCTCACGAAATTCCCCTTGTTGTTGCCGACCTACCTACCATCTACGTCTCTCGTCTCCTCCGATTCGTCGCCGCCCAGACCGAAGAGTCACCGCACATCGAGTTCTGCCTCGTGTGGATCAAGGCTATCATCGATAAGCACGGAGCTTGGCTCTCTGCGAACCGCGCCAAGGCCGATATTGAGTTGAGAGTTGTTGCACGAGCTGTCGCCAAGATGAGGGACGAGATTAGGAGGCTTGCTGATGAGAATGTTTACATGGTTGATTATTTGCTGGGCCAAGCGCAGGACAAGACCGAAAAGAAGGATGTCAAGGCGTTGGATAGTGGAAAAGATGTGGATGTGAAGCTCATGGCTGTTGATGGAGATGAGTCCGATGCGGGATCTGATGAATGGATTGGCTTAGAATAGACCGTAAAATACGATTGATAATACCCATGCATACCTATTATACAATTTCCTTCCTCTTGGGTATTTTACATCTTTGCCTTGGGAATCTCTTCCCACGCCTCCTCGAATCCTGCAGACCTAACCCACATTGTCCCTTCCTGGCTATCGGCTTCTTCGTTGGCATCCATCAGAACATAAACTGCCTTGAGCCACTCATTATCCTTGATCTGCACCCAATCTCTATCCTGATAAGGCTTTGTCACCCGCTGCGCCAGCATAAGCGCCCTCGCCAACTTGACAGTATGTCCATCATCTACGATCTTGTGGATCCTTGGGAACAGATCCTCTGGCTTGTCCACCAGCTTATCTCCGTCCTTGGGTTTATAATCCCGAAGCATATCACCTCGGAGAGCAGGTGAGCCGCGAGCAATGTATTGTAGGAGGTCCATACGGATCTTGTTCTCGAGCAAACGCGCTTTAGTAGACGCCGGAATCCACGATTGCTTGTTGAGAGTAAGGAAGAATGGTGTAGATGTTGTGTGATGCCTGCAGAGGTTAGGACACATCTTTGAGAGCAGGAAGTGTACTTACATAAGAATAAAGTCAAATCTAGGACGGTAAGGGGGATGGAAAGCAGCGCCTGCAACAACAAAGGCGGCGTTATGTACCATCTCTGCTGTCCTTTCATCCAACTCATTCTCATCAACTCGCACCCTCGCCGCCAAGTTAATCATTTCCTGTTTTCCCCTGGCGAGAACACCATCGAATACGCGATTCGAATCCTCCCAGTGCGAACTCTTCACAAGCGTCTCGTTCTTTAAAGCATCCTCATAAAGTCCGGGAATAGTCTTCATCTTTGGTGGAGCATTATCACTTTCGGCTTTCTTAGCCGCCAAAGTCAGAAACTCATGATAATCATCTCGATGAACAGCAGTTTGCGCAAGAGCCGCAGCGATGATCATGGGTTGCTCCCACTCTAATCCATAAAGAAGTTGGATCAGCGGATGGAGGACACCGGCGAAGAGACGGCTCTGCATATCAAGACCTCGCGCGTCGTCTTTGAAAAGATATTCCTTCAGAGTGTCTTGCCAACCAATTCTCTCGATTTCATCCTGGAAGAAGCGAAAGAATGTAGCGTAGTTGCGACCTTTACCAAGATACTCGGACCAATCTGAGCCGTGCTCTAGTTTGTCGATAACGTCAGACTTTGGTTTCATGGCTTTGAGTTGATATGTTGTGTTGGCGTCATAGGCTTTAGTTATAATGTCTGTTGTTGCGCCGGTGCCGTATAAGGTGAGGACTTGATGCACAAGCTGAACGTTGTTAGCGTGGTATATGGAGAGAATTGGCAATGAGATTCACATGATCGTGGAAACCTGACTCGTTGAAGAATACATGGTGGTTCTGTACAGTGTTAGCCTCCGAGACCTGTAGCTGTATTAAATTGAAGTACCTCAAGATCCTTTTGAAGCAAGTCGGTCACTTTTGAGGCCTCACTTTGGCCAACTTTCAACCCCAGCAGCCCTGAGTTCCGAGGCTCTACCTGGATTTGGAAAGAAGTAGCCATTGTTGAATATCTGTTAGCCAAACTTGTAATTCTTGAAGTAGGTCTCACAAAGACTTTTCGAGTTGTCCGCGCCCACATGAGGAGATGGCTCGAATTATATAGGAAGAGAAAGTAGGTGACATGAAGTAACGTCTCTTTTGTATGACAACAAAAAAAAAAGGGACGATATTATGTGTCCTTTTGTGACAATGATATCACAGAGTATGAGCTGACAAATCTAGGGTCTGTTGCAGTAGCAACTTCGACTCTCTCGGATCTCGCACTTAAGAGTTGTGCCGCTTTGGGCCGCTGAGGAAGTCCGAGTTTGTAATGATGTGGAATCGTTCTGAGGATGGACGTGGTTATATGCACGACTGAGAATTAACTACTCGTTCACTAAAAAGGCAACAGCCACAAAGAGGAAGCTCTCAGTCGTTACTACCCCGGATTTGCAAGTGCACTGACATCACTGAAGGCTGCTGTGTCCCACTTTTCCGACTAGTAAGAAGAAAGCTCTTAATGCTGACATTTTTGGTGTCTCACAAGCACGTTTTTTGTTTTTATCAGATCAACAATATGAGGTAAATTCTTTCCATTTAAACTTTTTTAACTACCAATGATCTTGTCTATACTGATCAGGTAGACCTGTTCCAATTTTCTATACCGGTATCCTTATTTTGTCGTAGTCTTCATGTCTTCCGTAACGCATAGGTAATTTAAGCTGAAAATCAATTAGTATGCAGAAACTTAAATAAAAAGAATTTATTCAAACTTACCCTTGGTCAGAGCAGGGGCCTCGTCGTCAGAGTCATCCTCGTCCATCTCCTCGAACTCGAGGTCGCTGGGGATGTCATCGGCATCCTGAGCGTTGGCTGTTGATGGTTAGAACTGACATGTCTGGTGTTGGAAAACGGATATACATACTGAAGTACTTGATAGCACCAGGCCAAAGATCCTCAGCGATGAAGACAGCGAGGTCGTCGGCAGTAGGGAAGATCTCGTACTCGTACTCATCATCATCCTCATCGTCCTCGTCCATGTCATCGTCGTCGTCCTCGATCTTGCCAGCCTTGCGGTCGGCCTTCTTCTGCTCGTCGATCTTGCGGCCCTCCTCGGACTCCTCGGGGGTGACCTTGCGGCCACGGAAACCGAACCAGGAGAAGAAGCTGACACCTCCCATACCGGTCTCCTCCATGAGCTTAAGAAGCTTCTTTGAGTTCTCGGTCTCACCGGGCTTCTGGCCGGCCTTTTCCTCGTCGTAGACCTTCTTGGCGAGGCTGAGCATGCCGTTGGTCAGGTCCTTGCCCTGCTTCCACTTGATGTCGACGGGCTCAGAGACGAGACCAGCCCAGCCGTCCTTGTGGAAACGCCAGTAGAACTTCTTCTCGAGAACCTTGTCCTCAAACCATTCGTTCTCCTTGAACTCCCACTTGATGGAAATGGAGCGAGGGTCGCCGTTAGGGAGCTCGAAGCGCTCAACGGAGAGGCCGGTCAGGGCGTTGAGGAGGAGTTCCGAGTCGCTGGGCTGGATGTACTCGTCAACCTCGGGAGGGGACTGCTCGAAGACGAGGGGCCAGAACTGGGGGATCTTGGAGACGACCTCAGCACGTCGGACGTAGAGGTCCTTGGTGAGCTTGTCCTGCTGACGGACTGCTTTTTGTTAGCAACTGCCATTCTGGAGCATGTGATAACAGAGTAACTTACGGATCTCGAGCTCAACATCCTCGAAGTCATCCTCGATGCCCTGGAGCTTCTCGTAGGTGATGAGAGCCTCCTTGAGCTGCTCGTCTTGCATATCGCCGGCAGACATTTTGAATGAAGAACTGAAAGCTTCGGGACGCATATAATCTCAAGAGAATACTTGAGAGAGGGGTATCTTGTAGTTGAAAAGTACACAAAAAGAAGGAAAGATTTGTATGAGGGAAGAGAGAGGGGAGGGCGAACGGTGAAGGTGAGGAGGAAAGCTTTTTTATTTGTTTACTTGATTAACTAAAGAGGACTACCCGCACCTAATCCAGTTTTAAGAGAGAGAAAAAAAAAATCTCATCTCGTCCCATCAAAAAGCTCCATGCACTTGCCTCTCAGTCTCTAGGTTTGCAGTAAAGCTCCCTCCCCAGCGGTGAAAATCAACATTTTTTTCTTTTTGGTGGGGTTCTACTGATGTCATTGGTTCGCCTTCAAGCCCCGCGCCAATGGACCCCTGCTTTTTTTTCACGTTCATTTTTTGCCTCTGCAGGTCCCCTAAAAACATTGCAGAAACGCGTGGCTTTAGTGGTCCAGGTGTCACTCGCCCCCACTATAAATGGAAGCTTTGTGATTCTTTACAGGGGGGTGGGTGATTAAATGTAGATTTTCTTAGGCGGGGTATCCTTGACAGAGAGGCGTGTTTAATTGAATTGATTTAATGGGCTTGGAGGGGGGAAGAAGACATCTCATCAGAAGAAATAGATAATAACACTCCGTAGTCCCAAGGTACTTAATATCCACCATGAATAGCATTACTTATAGAAATATATATTGCCACCAGCTTGCTATGCATATATCTACATGTTACATGCACTTTCCCTTCTAGATCCATACCCATGCATGCTGTAACAATACGAAATTGTCCGAAGGAAGCTTGGGCCAAAGGATAACTTCGGAAGCTCCAAGGACATTTTCACGCAATAACATAGTTGGCCTGGCAATAAGTAGCAAAACATTCTACTGGCCATGGCGAATCCACATCAGTTGTGACAAAGATATACTCGACCGTCTACATTCGAGCTACTGAATAAAGTGAATCAACATGGCCAAAGCCAAACAATCTGGTTTTGGCCTCAACACCAAGGAAAGACAACATCAAATGAATAGTGATTCTAGCTTTTATCAAAGGACTTTTAACACTCAATTAGGATACTTGGCAAATTTATTGTTTAACAGCAATACAGCTTCCGTATTGATGCCTTCAACAATGGAAGCCACCACCAGTGCTTGTAACGCGCAGTGAATAAGTGTTTCATAGAATCAATCACAATGACCTTATCATCAGATCATAAGAAGCATATATTACCTACTATCAGATCTTGCATCCGCATTCTTTTACCCAAATCATCTATCTTCTACAAACTCCACTGCGGCAAAGCATAAACACTGCGAACTTTTCTAACTGGCAATACCCTCACGTTCATAATGACCAGCCTGAGACCATTAAAGATGTCCACTCAACTTGCCGAGTCCCCCCAACCCATGCCCCTAGAGGTAACCGTTTACGGCCCTTACAATGCCCTCAAGGCCGCCAACTTTGGTGCAAAGCGTCTCCTCCTCTGCCGCAAAGACTCCTCTTACGTGGGCGGTCTCACCCCTGAGATCGAAGAGCTCGAGTACCTGAGAGACAATATTCATATCCCAATCAGCTGTGCCATTCGACCCCGTGGAGCTCCTGACATTTTTCTTGTCGGCGAATCGCAAGACTATATCTATTCAAATGATGAGTTCATCGAGGTGTGCGATTCGATCCTTAATCTCAAGGAGACAGGTGTCATGAATCCTCTTCGCGGCGATTCTTTCGTCTTTGGATGCCTGAAGCGATATTATGAAGGGACAACCGAGGGTCTGAAGAAGAAGAAGATCGTTCTTGATCGATATCAATGTGGCTATCTCGTCAACATAGCCAAGCCGTTCGGGTGTGTCTTCAATCGTGCCTTTGACCACTTCGCCAAGGGCGGAGACTGGAGTAACATCATCCCTCAACTCATCAAAATCGGCTTCACGGGCGTCATGACAACTGGAGGACCAGGAAAGTTTAATCGTCACATCGAACTCCTTGGAGCCATGGGCCAACAATTTCGTGACATTCAGCTCATCGTTGCTGGTGGGTTCCACTGCCCTGAGATCAAGAAGCTTCGAGCCTACGCGAACGAATACGACACCAATACGGTCTGGGTTAATGGGGAGTGTCTTCGTCCCGAGCGTCACGAGGATTCAGAGACTTGCGACATGAGCAGCGTCATGGGTATGATGGATCTGCTCGGCCTTCAGACGACGGATTAGATGTCCACTCGCAACATTGGCAGGCAGATCTTTTATTAAAGAACTCATCCAGGATTTTACCAGAAAGCATCCGATGTATGAGGCGTAATGATTGAACGTTCAATGGAACGAAAGGTTACGAACTTACGATTGACGACTTAAGGGCGTTCGGAATTATTTTGAAATTTGCTACACATTGGGGAACACAAAGGGATCACAACTGGAATGACTTGAAGATCGTCTATCCGTGACATTCTCGGATTAAAACTACACACAAGAATACATATGCGCTTGTAACTGCGCATGAACCTGACAGATAGGAATGGTACATCCATTCTAACTATTATCACAATGAACTCTACTATCGTATATCTCCGCTACTATCTGGCCTGCTTGTTGTAATGAGCCAGACGTATCTAAATCGTAAATGACGACAGGATGATGAATGCTCGCGAGTTAGGGCATTGTGTCCCAAGTGGAATACCGAGTCTGTTGCAATCGTTTATGGCCAAGATGGAAGACAGAGGCGTATACAGCCACGCTGGTTTATTGTTGCGTAATTATTTCTTTTTACTAAGCCACACAAAACTTTCTTCTTTATCTTCTACTATATGTACACCGCTCGTTCATCTCATCATAAATGCACGATCCACTGATTATCAGACTTTTAGTAGCCGTGCTTCTGGCCTTGAGCAAGACCAAGGCAGTTGGCAATCTTGTAAAAGATGTCAATGTTGCTGTATGTGCCGCCGAAGGTATCTTGGCAAGGACCAAGAGCGTAGACAGGAACGTCAGTCAGCGAGTGGACACCCTGGCTGTTGTCAGTGCTGATGGTGCCATTGATAACAAAGCCATCGGGAGCGTCCTCAGGGTTGACGTAGTAGTCGCCGTCCTTAAGCTCGACGGCGGCCTCACGGGGGCTCTTGTGAACCTTGTAGTTCTCGCGGCGGTCGGGAGCAGCACCAACTCCACCGGCGATAGCATAACGAGGCTCCCAGTTGGTAGGGAAGTTGGCGCCGGTGCCGTAGTTAATTCCCTTGGCCTTCTTGGTGTACTGAGACTGGCCAGACTTCTCGTAGGTACCGATGGCACGACGCTTGGCACGGTCGTCCTCCTGCTCAGAGAGGTACTCGGTGTCGGCAGAGCCCCAAACACTGCAGTTGTTAGCATTTGAAGATCATGGGCTTTTACGGGTTAGAAACTTACTCGAAACCGTGGCCGTGATCAGCAGAGACAATGACAAGGGTCTCATCGAGAATGTCAAGCTTCTTGAGCTTCTCAATAGTAGCACGAACAGTGTCGTCGAGCTCGAGAAGGTCACCAAGGGCACGATCGTAGTCGAGAGCGTGCATCTGCTTGTCGATAGAGGCAGCCTCGGACATGAGAAAGAAACCCTTATCCTTACCACGAGTGCTAAGGACATCAATGGCCTTGAGGGTCATGTCCTTAAGACCGGGCAGGTCAGTAGCATCAGCCTCCTTGCCAGTAGGGTCATTCTCGAGACCCTCAAGGTTGTCAGTGAAGACATTGCGGTCGAGCCAGACAGGAAGGTTGCTCTGGCAGAAGACACCGAGAGCACGCTTGCTCTTGTCGGCCTTGAGGAGAGAGGTCTTGTTATGGGAAACAGTGTAACCCTTCTTCTGGAACTCCTTGTAGTAGTCCTTGCCCTTGTAGGAGCCCTTTCCAGCAATGAAGTTCTCGGCACCACCACCGAAGAAAACATCAGGACCCTCGTGCTTGGTCCAGCTGTAGTTGCTGTTTCCGTTGAGAGCCTGGTCGATCAGAGGACCATACTGGCCTCGAAGACGGGTGTGACCAGTGAGAGCAATGGGGGTAGCATCAGCAAGGTAAGCGGTAGAAACAGCACCCCAGGCACCGCCCTGGTAAAGTTAGAATATGAATTGAAACTCGATTGGGATCAAAACTTACCCAAATACGCTTGAAGATCTCGACAATGGTCTCAACCTTGGGGTCGTCAAAGGGGTCGGGAGAAGAGTCGGCATAGACACTGCATTTGTTAGCTCGAGTTCGTAATTTTCAGAAGTTTTCTTACCCCATAGCATTGACAGTGCTCTTGTGGCCACTGTACAGAGCGGAAGCAGAGTTGGCAGAGTCGGTGATGTAGCTGTCGATCGAGTGGGTCATTTGGTGACCAAGCACGGGGAACTCGTCCAGCTTCATCAAAGTCTGGTACTTTCCGTTGATGCTCTTGTGTCCCAAGAGACGAGCAGCGGTGATCTGTTACGCCAATCAGCTTCCACAAGTCTTACTCTTTGCAAGCAAACTTACCATGTTGGTGGTCATGCCGTCACCAATGAAGAAGATGACGTTCTTGGCCTTTCGCTTGGGCTGGAGATCACGAACAGTCCACTCGGCAGTGGTCTTCTCGCCGTTGTAGTAGTGCAGAGTAACGGTGTACTTGCCGGGCTCGTTAAGGGAGATCTTGCGGTAGATTTTTGAAGCAACATTGACAATGCTTGGCTTGTCCTGGTCCTCGGCAAAGAGGTCCTCGTACCAGTCAAACTTCCACGTCTCGACCTTGGGCTCCTTGAGGCCAAACGCCTTTGCAAAGTCCTTGGCCTTCTCGCCCTCCTTGGCAATGGTCACCTTGAACTTCTGGTCGGGCTTGCCATTGTGAGCGGCCTCGGAGCCATTGACGGGAGCGTGAATCTCGACGCGGAAATCAAAGAGCTGACCGGGGAGGAAGTCACTCTGGTCTGGGGGGAGAACGCAGCCAAGCGTAGGACATGTGCCCAGACGCTGGTAAGTCTGCGCCGAGGCAGCGGCAATTGAGGCCGCAAAGGCGGCAATGGCATTGAGCTTGACCATTGTGACGAAGCTCTGCTCAGTTTCCAAGAATTTGGGAGGTGGAAGCTGGTAATTGGCGTAAAAGAGGCGAGCTGGTGCAGCTTGAGGGGAGCTCAATAACTTAAACTTTCGGCGAGGGTAGCATTATTTATAACCATAACTCATCTCGGTGCGACAATCCCACGTGAATTATTGCCGTTCGGAAGACAAGTTCTCTTCCGAGAAGCAATACCATGCCATGGATGAACAATCCGCCTTCCTCAGTAGGCCAAGCTGAGGAGACTGATGATGAACTGATCTTGGCCTAACGGTGCATTGCATCGAGCCAATTGAGTTCTGGGGACGATAAGGACAACGTCCAAGGCTGGTTTAGATCGACAGCAATATGCTGCCTGTCCCATCATGTTGGGATGAAAAAAGTGCATCCGTACCGTTGCATCACTGAAGCGATGGCCGCCTCATGATGGCGGATGATAGCACGTGTGTAAGTGTGCCAGGGCCGTTCCCTGCAAAAGGACCCTGCAACTAGTTCCGATGCTTGCTAACCTTGTTCTGCTTGTCATGGGCCGGCAGCGGGGATGTTGTCCCCATGGCGTAGGTGCTAGTGGAAACAGGTCAATCATACCTCATCATCCAGCCCAGGTGCCGTGATATCCATGATATTCATTGTCAACATCGGCATCCCTGGTTCATGGCCGATCCTTGGCTTACATGCCTAGCATGCATCTCTTCCAAAGTGGTTGACCGAGTATGAACACCAACCGGCTCATAATATCCCAGTCAGCCGAGACCACCAACAGCTTCTCGCTCGCCCGCTTGACAAGGACCTTCGGCTGTGGCTTCACGAGTAGCTCAAATGCCGCTCGTGGGCAGATTGAATCTTCCTATTGGTTGTGTAATCCCTGCTCCCTTAACTCCACAGATCTCCAGATAGAAGAGCTTAGATCATAGCTTCTTTTTTTGGGTCCAACTTTATCAGTCAAGCTTGTTTTCTTTTCTTTTTCGCTCAACTCGATCGGGGCTTGTCGGCCGTTTTCTTTAGTTGATTTTGAGTCCCATTATCAAAGACTGTTGGACGTCGAAGGCGTACGCCATCTCAACCACAAATGACTTTTATTGTCTGCCATAGCGGATATGTCTTAATCCTTTTTTTTTTTTTTGCCAGGAAAGACCTTCTGCTCAGTATTGTCCGTTAGGCAAACAGTTTGCCAATCGTCCTTGGCCGGTGGATTTCCCCAGTTTCAACCATCGTAGTCAGCTTCAGCATCTTTGGAATGAATCACTCAGAGAGAGAAAAGCTGAAAGAATTGGCTTTTATTTGGTGCTGACTATATGTCTCTAATCGCATTGAAAATGATGCATCAGATGACCCTGCTCGTATATGCTGCCGAACGTTAAGGACAAATTCGAGAATCGCGTGATAGATGCAATGCCATAAACGATGAACCCAACAGTGACGCAGTCACATATCACAGTGATTTAATGAAATCCAGGCATACACCCCAGAAGCTGATCTCAATTTGGCTTTCCACTTCCAGTCCAAAGCTGCATTTGATCAACATGCAGTCAAAGGTGGCCCTATCCAGATCGTCGGAATGGTCTCTTAACAAGAACCGTACCTGGCATGACATGAAGGGGCGGGTACATTAGTTCTGTCACTTTTCAGGGCTCGGTGCAACCCCATCGATGGGCAATGTACCCTCGACAGCTGCAAGAGGTTCTGCAATGGCCTCGGGGTGGGGACTGACATCGACCGAATCAAATGACTGCCAGCTAGGTTCGTTAATCTTAGTCTGGCCGGCGATGCTCTTGAAATGGTAACCCCTGGCCCGGGGCCTCTCTCCAGTTCCGATGGGGATCTCTGGCTCATACACAGTCAAGAACTTCTTGTGAAGCTCCTCAAATTTCTCGGTGCTCTCGTTAAGGGCTGCCCTAATACCAGCGAAGAACGCACTGAGAATGGCGTGGTTGTGAATTTGGAGAAGGCTCCAACCCAGCATCTCCTTGGCATTCAGCAAGTGCTTGATGAATGCTCGGTGGTGCTTGGTGCAAGTGTAGCATTGACAGCCATCCACTAGAGGCTGCAGGGATGTCGTATGCTCTTCGGACCACATGTCGATACCCAGCGGTTGCAGATCGGATGACTCAGGGGGCGCGAATGTGAACGATAGGGCGATACCTGCATCGGATGCAGTGTTGGTGAAAGGTACCGTGCATACGTCGATACCTAGAGCAACCTGGCGCAACAGATCTTGGGGACTTCTAGCAGGGCCAAAGGACAGTCGTGGTAAATCTCCGAGGGAGGGGTAGTTGACCAGTTCAGGCAAAAGGTTGACATCATACACAGCGAGACCGGAGAGGGAGTCTCGAACGTCCTCTGCGAGATATCGTAGGTAGTCCCATTGTATAGGGTACTGAACAGGAAGCACAGGAGCAAAGACAGAGACTCCCATCTCTTTGAGGCGGCCCTTAGGGTCTAGAATATGGAAGAACTTGTCTACCCATTCTTCTGTCCTCTCAACCATACGAATCTGCCGTTTAGATGAAGGGGTGTTGCTTGAATGGAACAAGTCAGCTGGAGGGATGGCGATATCTGGTTGAGTGAGCTCAATAGTCTTGGCAAATTCGGGGATTGTGAGTTTCCGGAAACCGGTAGAGGTAAAGATGCTGACGTGGTGATCAGCGTTTCCAACGGGTGTCACAACAGCAGGGAACCGTCTTGGACCGAGGACCAAGGCTCGATCTGATGGAAACGCCGTGAAGCTTTGAAGATTTCTCGGTGTCCCGGATGGCAGTTGCAGCACAGGGGGTTGTGATTTCTCGAGGACTATATCCAGTCAGAACATTCCACTATACCAACGTTTACATGCCATACAATCCTCTATCGCTAGGTATGATGCATCAAAGGTCGTGTGCTTTGTGACATTGTCCGGTGTGAGATGAGGAACGACTCCTCGTGATGCAACAGCGATATAGTTTGGCGTCTGCATCGTTCTACGTCCACCAGCAAAAGCTAGACGTCCCAAGCGAGCAACTCCAGCTTCGCCAGCAGCGGGTTTTAGTAGCTCAAACATTGTGAGTGTCGATTCTTGTGATGTAGGTTGGGTCATCTTGGCATGGCAAAGTTTAGAAGACGACGTAGAAGTAAGGAAAGATGACGACTAGCAAAATGCTAGAAGGTATAGCGTCAGTCTTACAGTGAGATATAAAGACTCTGGTGTAGGAAACGAAATCTTTAGAAGAGACGGCGTCAGTTCTCCTTATACAACCAGTGAAGCTGTTTGTGAACCAGCCCTTTGAGTATTTGCAACAAGGATTAGTGGATGTGGGAAGCACGTGTGGGAAGCACCTTCCATACTGTGTTGTCCTTTCCGAGGATAAACCGATGTAAGTCGTTGATGCTTCAATACCAGACAGGATCACTAGGTTAAATTTCTTACTGGTAATTTTTCTTAGGTGTCCCATAGTTGTTATTGAGGCCTGTTTCCTTAATTCTCTTCTCATATGAAGCCACATCTAGTTTTGCTTGCTTGTTTGCAGGCTCTATCCAATGGACAATCCATCCACCATCATTGACCATCACTACTCAAATAATGGTCAGAATGAGCGATCAAAGCTTTCTATATCTGCAAAAAAAGTCATAATTCCTTGTGTCAATACTTCATATGCTTCCAGATGGTGTCCCAAAAACAAAAACACCTCTCAATGTCGGCACCATTACCAACCAGAGTGATCATAACACTCCAGGGTAAAAGAACATCAACGTCTCGAGCTCAGGTACCCAAGATCGACTGTCCCTAGATAAAGAAGTGACCTTCGCTGCAGACCTCTTTGGACTTGGCTTGGACGTTTTACTTCTGGCGACTCTATATCGACGAGCCCCTCTGATTTCTTTCTCTTTTGCCAAGTTTTTCGTCACGGCATCGGTCGCTTCCAGTACACTTTTCCCGAGAAAACCAGGCAAAGGAATGTCTTCCTTTTTTGAAGATTCCGAATCCGAGTCATCTGACAGAAGACCTAATAATCGTCCTATGATGCCGATGACTGAAAAGAAAACCAGCCCATAGCATAGCACACGAAGGTTTGCCTCATCAGCTGCGAAAGTGTTAGTACAGCATGAGCTAACATATAAAACGCTGCTACTCACGGTAATTTATTATTTGGTGACTTTCTCTTTCGAGGCTCATATACTCGGAAATTTTTTTCTGTATCTCGCGATCTAGATTGTATTGCATAGACTGGCGAGTCCATCCAGTGGTATGCTTCGTTCGAATCTGACGTTGGTAGATCGGTGGAAGTAATGAATGTTGCGTTGGAGCGCGCCCAAGCCCCTGAAGTATAGAATGGGAAGCACAAGAGGCTCGGGTTTGGTACAGAATTCGAGAGCTCTGTGGTATGGTAATGGACCGTGTAACAGACTGCGCGACTCGAGAGAGTCCAGGTGATAAGGAGTTCATGGTGAGCTAGTAGTTGAAAGCGTGTAGATAGACGTAATGAGCCGCGTTGAGAGGATATGATGTGAGTGTGAGAGAGAACCTATGGTTTTACAAGTTAAGTAAAGAAAGTTCTTTGAAGTTCTGATAACTTTCGATGTGCGAGAATAACTTTTGGACGCTGTTTCTTTAGACTTTTCTGTGGTCAATAGTCGAGTCTAATGTTCCCACCACCTCAAATCAAAAGAAACATGTCCAGATATACATGTACTCTCATAATGAAAAGATAGCGTGTGAGTCTTGCTGTAAATATTCAAGTATACCAACAAGTCCTTACAAGTGACATTACAATAAGGAGTGCAGGCTACTAGGGCGCCCAAACTCAGTTCACAACAGCCTTTCAGGATGCAAGTGATTGGGGCTTTGAAAACTCTCAAGTTTCCCCTACGTAAGCTTCTTTTTCTCTGTTCGTTTTGGAAGCAAACTTGTGTAAGGATGATTCACTCATGTTGTTTCAATTCGACTGCAACTCCACCGCTCCCACCATTGATAAAATCCACAAGACACTCCATTCTAACATGGCATCAATGATCTCCAAGGCCCCCCGAGTTTTCGCTAGAATACCGGTTGCACCTTTTTATTCATCTGAAACCGTAACATTTACGCGCTTTTCGCTGAAACGGCCGATCCTCTCTTGGGTCTCCCCATTGCAGCATCAGATCCGGAGTGTTGGAGGAAACTCTCCTCGCCAGCCAGGCTCTCAGAAGAAGAACGAACCATTTTTGGACGAACAAGGCGGTAAGTAGTAACAACTCTCTCTATATGTACTGTGCTAATATCCGAATAAGAAAGGTACGCCAAATATGCAGTCGGAGCGTTATTCTTTCTTGCCGTTTTTTGGGCGTCGAATAAGATGAAATATCGGGTTCCAAGGTCAGAGTATGCGAAGGACTTCGACGTCCCCCATACAGAGGAAACGCCTCGTCTCTCAGAGTTGCCTAAATACAAGACCTGATCACTGATGATCAGCTTGTATCTCTTCATGGCATGGCACTCGATACCAAAGTTCTCCATCCGGGAGCCAATACTCTCCTATCTATAACCCAAGTCTACGAACATGTATAATTAGCCTCAATACAAGAATCGCCTCTCGATACCAATAGAAATGTTGCAGGAATTTCATAGCTCGTCCCAAATCGAGCTAATGTTGCTCAGCATCTTCTATGATGGCCCGAAACGTAAGCCAAGCATTCCAACATACCAAAGATTCTTTCTTCAATATATAGGTACGCACGATCAATATGATTGATCTTCGCTTGAGACTCTAGATATTTATTGTGTTTGTTGCTTGAGAAGTAAGCAACAAAGAGCAGTGATGTTTCTCTGGGTTGCTGAAAGTGTCTCTGACACCCTGCAATTGGTTCAGGACCTGTTGCTCTGTATTTGTACCTGCTTCTTAGCGTCCCTAGGCACTTCTGACGGGAACCATTTCCGGGCCGCAGGGCTGATGCTCAACCAATCAATTCTGCAACCATTCAGTGGAAGCCCAGCGTCTTCTTGTGTCGCATCAAGGCAATAAACAACCAGATCTAATGGCCGACGATAACCCACTCATGATACGTCTTGGTTCTATCACCTATCACCTTTCCCTATTATAAGATCCAGCAACTCTAAGTGCGACACAAAATCATCCTTGCGAAACACGAATCCATTCACTCCGTCCGATAAGGCGTTGGTTCTTGCATCCTTCTTCTCCACTTTACTGCACTCCTCCACCGGGTCTTCCGGCACCCCCAGGGAAGGCAAATCCGCCGAGCCACCAGAGCCAAGTCGATACGCAATTGATTGATTTCCTTACATACCTAACGTCTTCTTCTTTGCATTCCCCTTTACACTTCTTATCTTCCGATAATGGTGAGCCATGAAGAGGAAGAATCTCAACCTCTAATGGCAGGCTCCGATCCTATAGACGTCAGCGTTGTGCCCGTCAGTGGCAGCAACAGCAACAGCGACACTGAGCACAACAGAAGTAATACGAACCACCCAGATGCGCCTCTCGAGTCCAATTCTCGCTCAGAAGTCGACGATAGCGACCCTCCAACCCCACGCTTCATACAGGACGAGAGCTCGTGGAAGCGATGGAAATGGGTTCCCTACCCTGTTCGAAGAAGCGTCAACTGGATCGCCAAATGGTCTCATGGGCCTACAAATCCCCAGCCGTATCGCATAAAGCCATTCTTCCCGATCGTACAAGAATACCCCATCTTTCTCATTGAGCGTTTTCTACCTAGACGAAAACATCGCATTTGGCTTGTATTTTTCTATCTGTCCATCTGGATCGTCACTTTTGCCCTCGTTAAGCGCCGAGACTCAGTCGCGAGTGAGATTGAAGGATGGGGCATGCCTCAGACCATTGGGTGCGGCGTTTCATACTGGGGTAGAGGCAACACATGTGGTTTAGATGGAACCGATTGCCGTCCTTTCAACGGTAGCGGATTTCCCTTCAGATGCAGAGCCAATTGCGAGAGCTACCATGTTCTCAACCCTCGAGCTGTTGGGAATCAAGAAGTTATCTATGCGCCCATGGTCGTAGGTGGTCCTGGAACCAACGGATCTGACGAGCCGGTTTATCGTGGGGATTCGTTCGTATGTGCGGCTGCTATTCACGCTGGCGTTATTTCCAACGAGAACGGTGGCTGTGGTGTGGTTGAGTTGATCGGTCGCGATCAAGAATACGCTGCCTCCAAGCATCATGGAATCTCAAGCGTGGGGTTCGACTCATACTTTCCCTTGTCCTTCCGCTTCGCACCCGACGTAACTTGCTCCTCTAGCGATTCGCGATGGGAACTTTTGGCTGTGTCGACCGTCTTTACGGGAGTTCTATCTCTCTTCACCAATTCGCCAGCCTTGTTCTTTTTCTCTGTATTTACAGGCATTTTCTGGACTGTTGGCATGGCACTTGATCCGCCCCCACATGCCTCAGTTGCGGCATTGTTCTCCAACTTGATCGGCAAATTTCTACCTGCCATGTTTTGTGCATGGGTCATGTACGACAAGATGGGTGTCCGTCGTACCCTTCGTGGTCTCACAGCCCAGATCGAAAAGACCATCTTGTGGCTAGGCGGTTGCTGGGTTGGGGGTATGGAGAACTATACCCTCAGTTTCATTCCCATCCAGCGACTGAACAAGCACGATCTGGACCAGCAGCCAGGCGCTAGGGCTGCTCTGGCCATCATTATAATTCTGCTGGCAGCTATTATTACCTCACAGGTGTGGTTCTTTAGGCAAGAAGGACGCCTGATTAAGTACCTCAAGCTCTATGCGCTTTTCGTGGGAGCCATTGTTATCTCACTTACTATTCCAGGGCTCAGTCTGCGGATACACCATTATATCATTGCTCTCCTGCTTCTCCCCGGCACGAGCATGCAGACACGACCATCCTTGCTATACCAAGGAATCCTCGTCGGTCTTTTCATTAGTGGTATTGCTCGATGGGGCTTTGATCCAGTGCTACAAACATCTGCAGCCTTACAGGGCGACGCTCAAAAAGGCTCGCGACTGCCCACAATTCCAACTCCGGGAATCAATCTCGGCATTGGGACCGATGCCGTGTCAAACATCACTTTCAACTGGAACGAGCCGCCGGCCCAGTTGTACGACGGCATTAGCATCCTTGTCAACGATGTGGAACGTTTCCGCACATATTTCGGCGATGTAGACGCCAAGCGTGAATTTGTCTGGAGTAGAAACAGCAGCTTGAAGCTGCCAGAATATTTCCGTTTTGCATACATGGATGGAAGTGAAAGTGGGGATTATACAAAGGCTGGTATCTGGACGCCGGACGGCGAGTGGACCAAGATGAAGCCCGGTCCGTCACGGGTCAAAGCCCGGAGTTTAGATAAAGATGATTTGGTTCAGCGAAAATGATTTGATGGTTTTGTTTGATACGCTTGGGTATATACAAAAGAACCACATTCGATGTGCTTCTTGATACTGTCATTTTCGATACTAGCGGTCTAGATATAGATATTCCAAGACATGATTTGAGTCGATTGAGTCGGCTCCGATGGCCCCCACTTGCTTCCGATCCCGCGCCGTGAATTGTACGTCCTCCGTGAATCGGTTCTTTGCTAGGTACAGACAGTCCCAGAGTGTTTGGTGGTAACGTGAACCAAGCAGGCATTTGTTTGTTTTACATGCTGCACTGTCGAGTGTTTCAGAGCAATTCCATGTGACGTCTCGCCAAATCAACACTCAAGCCCCGCTCTTATATCATCAACAATTCTCAACCTCGTAAACGCAACCTCAACACCAACACCACCACATATCACCACTCTCACAAAACTCACATCAAAATGCCTCCTCGAGTCCCCACCGAAGAAGACTTCTCCCCCCTCTCATCCACCCTCCCTCATACCCTTCACTTCCCCGATCCCCCGGAATCAACAACCACATTCCTCATTCTCTTCCACGGCCTCGGCGACCATGATGTCCCCTATGCAGGCTTCGCAAAGAACCTCAGCCTTCCCGGCGTCCTCGGTATTTCCGTCCGTGGTACCTCTGTTCTCCCTGCTGCGCTGATGGGCACCGATGTCCCTGGCTACCATTGGGGCGATGATCTCACTGTTGACCCCAACACGGGAGATATCGCTGATGATTCTGGTTTCGAGAAGGCGCGCAAGTTAATCATGGAGAAGTTGATCACTGAGGTTCTCATCGAGAAGTGTGGCTGGGAGATGAGAGATATCATGTTCTTTGGTTTCGGACAAGGTGGCTCGCTTGCCCTTGGTCTCGCGGCTGCTCTAGACACTACATCTCGTGTCACGGACGTCACAGAAGGCGAAAACACTACAGCCGCAGGCAATAAGACCTTCAAAGGTCTCATCTCCCTTGGTGGCCCTTTGCCACAATCGATGGTGTCCACTGTTACCAACCGTCGCAAGAGCCGCACAAGCGTGCTGGTGTGCCAGCTGGACGAAGACGCTGTCGACGCTGTGAAGCAGGAGTTTGACGACGTCAAGGTGGTGCAGTGGAAGAGACGTCAATTGAGCATGCCGATGGACAGAGATGAGGTTCTGCCTCTGATGCAGTTCTTTGCCGATAAGCTTAGGAACGAATTTTAAATTAATCACAGACCATTCTACTAAGCAGCTTATACGGTATCAAACATCAAATCAGGATGTAAAAAGGACGGTTGATTCATAAGGGGTATCATATTGTGTTTATATCCAGAATAGAGATGCTTAAGCAAACCCTGCGTTTTTGTCTCGGCAACCTGTCTGCAACATCTCAGCTAGTATGTCCCATTTTGCTGATTGCACGTCGCTTGTAGCTCTGGCGACACTACGCAGACCACCGCATGCAAACCGCAGATGTCTATCAAAGTCAGACTTGATTTCCTTCAGTACAGTCATAAACGGTTTCCCCATCTTCAAAGTTTTTGACTCATGCATGGCCTCATCCTCTTCGTCGCTACTATCGACAACGTATCTTGATTTCAGCCCAGGTGTTCCGGGTGTAGGCGAGAGATTTCTAGTTGAAAGACGAGAGACATGTTGTATACGCTCTGACTCTTTTGTTACGTTGACGGTTTGTGCTTGTTCAAGTCTGATCGCCAAATCAAGCATGTCGAGGAAGCATTCTCTTATGGGGGTTAGTCTACTCCCAAGGCATGCCTCGTCAACGACATGTTTCAAAAATGCAGAATGAACAGATATCATGGCATCTACATCGTGCGCTTCGCGCATGTTCTGTCTCATCTTAGCACAATTGGGCGACAATACCAGTGTAGCAAAATAAGTCTGAAGCGTGGTGCAGAACCAGAGGAGATTGTTTCGCAAAGAATAGTAGAGTGCTCGTTCATCCCAGTTTTCGTTATCAGCCCAGTCATTGTCGAGAATCTTGCGTTTCTGTAGGATGTGCAAGGCTCTTTTTAGCTGCAAGAGCAATACAAAGATGGTATCGTATTGTGCGTTGCTATCTTCGGATATAATCATGCGAATCGGCCAGGTCAACCGATAATTGACTCTTGTGCTTGGCAGAGCCACCTTGACAGAATCCCGCGCTGCAAGAACAGGTATCCGAAGACCTGTAGGCTTGATGAATATGGACACTCTTGTCGTATCAACAAGGGACGTGAATGCTTCTTGTGCCACACTAGTAAGAGTATAACGATTATGCCAGTTAGTATCCAGCGTGTCCAGCTTTCCAAAAAGGCTGCTGGTCCAGGCTTCTGTTGCGGCTCCATCGGACATGAAGTACAAACACTCCATGGCTTCGAGGGCAGACCAGAGCCCGCATTCTTCAAAGAGAGTATTTCTTAACGTAGTTGAGGTTGTATTGTACTTGGTTTGTAACCATCCGTCAAACGCAGTGCCAAAGAGCTCTGAAAAGGGTGCAAGCTCTAATCCCTTGGGACAGAGAGTCTCATAGTTGAGTGGAGGTTCCTGCACCGCCCACTCCGAGCCCGAAGAGACCCAACGACCCAGCCGTTTGAGAATGACGATGTTCTTGCCAGCGTTGAAAATCTTGGCTGCTGCTGGCTGGAGGAAGTTAGGAGCATGTAGCCTCCCATCAGTCGTCCGACGAAGCCTGAACTGTTCACGCCAAATCTTGCTGGGAGATACTTGACTCGGTGCTTCTGAAACGAAAAAGATCTTATCGCTGGGGATAAGCTTGCCCTCCTCCATCCACAAGCGAATGGGCCGAAGGTAGACATTGAAGCATTCAACGAAAATGCGTGCTAGAAACTCATAAATGTCTAGCTTGCCAGATAGTTGAGCCATGCTAGCATCGTCAAACAAAAGTTCAAGGTACCGAAAGGTTCCTTGGTTCGGGATATTCTGTACCTTAGCGATAATATTGGAAAGCGAGTACAGCGGTTCAAGCGAGGTAGATAATTCTCCTTTGACGGACAGCAAGCTCACTACCACATTGTTCCCGGGTGCAACAAGCCGAGACTCTATTGCTGTTGTTTTCTTTTCGAATTCGGCAAGGCGCTTAGCCACTGTATCCTGAAATACTTGGAGATGTGAAGCACGCTGTGGCTTGTCGACGAAGCTGCGTAGGATGGCCAGTTGGCGGCCGGCCTCGGAGAAGTAGCTAAGAAGGGTTCTATGGGTATCCCATTTCAGATGGGCTATTTGAAATGCGGGATCGACGACTCCATTGGGTCCAAAAAGAGTTGTTTTGAGTCCTTGTAACATGAACAAAACTTCTCGCACGATGTGGAACTCTGTGACTGGCACTTTTCGGGCATGCCCCGATGCATCTGTAGGCTTTTCGATCCGCCATTCTTGCGCCTCCCGAATTTCGTTGAGCTGTTCGACATCCTCAGGATGGATAATAAGATCTTCGGCTGTTCGTCCAAGTGCTGGTACTTCTGATGGGTCGGTGCTAGCCTCCGATTCACTCTTGGACCCCTCTTGGTACAGCTCATCGTCTGAACTATCGGTGTATTTGATCGTTTTCCATATTGCAGCTTCATCATCATCCTCATCCCATCCATCTTCTTTTGCGATATCCTCCCAGCGCAGCTCAAGCTCCGAGTCTTTGGGTCCTGTTCTGAGCGCATCTAGATCACTTAGTTTTGCATAGTAGGTCGGCTGGTCTGAGAGCTCTAGTATCAAGTAAAGTATCTCGGGATGGAATTTATCAGGTTTTTCGAGAAGCTGCTCCCGACGTTCGGCGAGGGCATCAGCAAGGGCCTCTCGGCCATTGACACGGAATCGCTCTTCTAGACCGTTAAGTTGGTGCTCGACCTCGAATTGGTTTGTTCGTAGATATGGGTGTGATTTCAGTCTTTGTAAACTGAAGTTGTACAGGGTCTTGTATCGAGGGTTTGTCTAAATGTTATCATGAGTTGAATGGTTTAGAGTTGCTGGATTACATGCATCATACCTGGGCTGATGAACCAGTCACCGCTTCAACGAGTTCTCCAGTGAGAGAGCCCAACCTTGCAGCAAACGCCATGGTCTTGTCTCATGTCTTGTACATTATCATGCCAAATGGCGGTTGTATCATGACTTGATTAGATGATTTGGCGGGGTTTCAGTGGTTGATGGCGCGTCCGTCGCGTCAATGCAAGGTTCGAGGTCCACTACAAGCGAAAGCTAGCTCTTATCGATTGGCTTATCTGCTGTGACATCAACTTCAATCATTCGAAACCCCTTTCATCATACCCAAGACTCGATCGGTTCTTCCAATTTAGAGACGATTCGCTGTATGAGGGCTAATTGCATCATTTAGCCTCTAATATAGTTAATCTTCGTCTATCTATCTCATGGATAATTGAGTCCCAACTTTCCGTCTTCTTGGCTTCACAGTGATCCTGGTATTTTTCTTGAATTCAAAACATGACGGTTGCGCGGCCTGTCCGGGCGTTGATCGCCGGTGGATGCATCATCTGGTGTTTCTTTATGTGGCAGATATTTGCTCCTTCATGGGGTCTAACAGGTCCCGGTGATCGGTACTCCAATTTTGAACGAGATCCTATGTTAGATCGTGAGTCGCAAAATGCATAGAGTCAGTTTGTTCCATTGCTAACCACGGGGAACCTGTAGCTACCGACGAACCAGAAGGAACATTGCACCGTACGAGTCCGAACTATGCCCATGATGCGAAAAATACCGAGCGTATAGATGCTACGCTGTTGGCCCTTGTAAGGAACGAGGAGGTGGATGCCATGGTTGCGTCGATGCGTGACCTTGAAAGGACATGGAACTCCAAGTTCAACTATCCCTGGACATTTTTTAACGACAAGCCTTTTACGGAAGAATTCAAGCGGAAGACGAGGGCGGCGACGAAAGCAAAAATCAACTACGGTAGGATGTTTACCACAGGAAAGGAAAATATATATACTGATTCCATGGCCAGAAATCATTCCCGACGAACATTGGAAGATGCCTTCCTGGATCGACGAACACATATTCGAAGAGTCAGCCAAGATTCTGGAGAAAAACGGCGTTCAATACGCAAGCAAGCTCTCATACCACCAAATGTGCCGATGGAATAGTGGTCTCTTCTACAAGCATCCAGCCCTCAAGGACGTCCGCTACTACTGGCGTGTGGAGCCAAATGTGCACTTCTTCTGCGACGTCGACTACGATGTGTTCCGCTACATGCACGACAACAACAAGACATATGGGTTCACAATTAACCTGTACGACGACCCCAAGACTCTTCCTTCGTTATGGCCCGAGACAGTCAAGTTTCTCGCCGAGCACCCAGGTTACATTCATCAGAACAGTGCTGTTGGCTGGGTCACTGACGATATTCGCCGACCGCAATCGAATAGAAAGGCTCAGGGGTACTCGACGTGCCATTTCTGGAGCAATTTCGAGATTGGAGATATGGAATTCTGGCGGAGTAAGACTTACGAAGACTATTTCAACCACCTTGACCGTGCTGGTGGCTTCTTTTATGAACGATGGGGTGATGCTCCTGTTCACAGTATTGCTCTCGGTCTGTTTGAAGATCAAAGCAAGATTCACTGGTCAGTCCCTCGCCATTTCCCGGTATAAACATGACTAATGAAACCAGGTTCCGTGATATTGGATATCAACATATTCCCTTCTTCAACTGTCCCAACTCTCCAAAGTGTAAGGGCTGCGTCACTGGTCGTCTTACAGATGGCGAAGCCTGGTTACATCGGGAAGATTGTCGGCCCAACTGGTTCAAGTATGTCGGTATGGGTTGAAGAACAAACACATGATAGTGTACGAAAACCAGCATTTGATGCATAAAAAGGGGTACGACATTTTGAATCATGGCAGTTTGGGTCACGGTTTCGGCGCTGGTGGGAAGCGATTAATGTTCAAGCAATCTATACGGAGTCTCATGATGGACAACATCTTGTCTATGTACGAATCTGAAAATGCCCTTGATGATGATGTAGCTTTCATTTCAATAATAAATCAAGCTATATGCACAGCTCGATAACGTTGTTCAGAGTGATGGGTTCACCATTAGAGTCCTGGCAGAAGCCTGCTTCGCCGTTTGGCAGACTCGAGTGGTATAACTGATATTTACAACGCTCCGTAAACCGTCACCACGCCTGATGTCCCACCCACGCAGAACTGATCTCCCCAACCATCCTCTCTCCATGCCATGCAGCTGACGACGTTACTCCTTGTCTTTTCTTTTCCGTCGCGACCAACAGCTTTCTTCTTAAGTTCAAAGCCCTGCGGTCCCCAAGGAACAGCCACCTTGGCAGCTAATTTGCCCGTCAATAAATCCCAAGCCCAGATCCTTCCTTGGCCATTGGGTGTAGCTTCACCAGCCATGGCATCGCCTACCATGACGTACTTCTCCTTACCGCCCAGCAGCGCTTGTAACTTGACGTCCTCATTCTTCCATGCTGGGTCTGTGTATGCCCTTAGACAAGAGCCGTTGTCGCGATCCATGAGGCGCAGCTTGTTGTCCAGGCTGCCCACAAGCATAGCACGTCCATCGCGTGTGAGACTGAGACTGGTGACGGATGCACCGATAACATCTGTAGTTACCTGTCCCATGCGAATATCGTAGCTGCGAACGCGACCATCGACACTTCCTGCGATGACTTCGGGTCCTCGAACCGCAAGGCAAGTTATAGCATCGCTTGCCTCGTCAAAAACTTGTATAGGCTTGAAGCTGTTGCTCTTGGTATCCCATAGCCTGACAGTCGTATCAAATCCACCACTCACAATGATGGAATCACCTTCACCAGCAAAGCTCACACAGTTGATCCGAGCAGTATGGCCATGAGCGTTGCCACCAAAGCGCTTGGTAGTGACAGCTGTACTCACATCCCAAAGGAAGACGCTGCGGTCGCCGCCAGCCGATACAAAGCGCTCGTTATCAGCCGCAACTGAAAGGCTCAGGACCTCATAGCCGTGTGCAGCGTAGTTCTGGATGAGGCGACCCTGAGGTATGCTGTGGCGGTCCTCGCCTGGGGCGGATGTGCTGGGAAATGGGTTGTAGAGGCGGATGGTTCGGTCCGCTGAACCGGTGAGGATGTAGGTGCCTGGTGAAGCGGAGTATGCAAGGGCATGGACCGGGCCTTTGAGTTTTTATTTGTTAGTTAAGTTGTTGGTCATGTCAGAAAAGTATTGGGCATCAGCGCGGGATATGCCTCGAGTTGGTAGGTGAATAGTGTGGCATGGCATGGTATGATGTGATGTGATGTTACTGAGAGCAAGACGCCACGCCTGAAGGTGAAGCTGAAGCTGAAAGCTGGAACGACGAGGGTGCGGGTGAGGGTGAGAGTAAGAGTAAAAGTGAGACGGGGACGGGGACGGAGGGACGGAGAAGAGATAAACAATAGAGAAAGGGGGGTGAAACGTTACCATTAGCGCCCAAAAGATGAGCAGAAGGTTTATCGGGAAAACCCATATCAACAAGTTGTCATGTCCATTCTCTCACCTGCACTTGTACTTGCACTTCACTTCACTTCACTTAAGCTATGGGTGGATATTCAAGTGTCATGAGAGTCCAAACAAAGGAGACAGAAGCTCTGACGTTTTCTGCAGCAAAGACTGTTTCCAGGGTATTACCTAATCAAGCTAGTTGCATATCCGCGTATAAGACTCTCTGCAGTACCAAGAATCATTACCTAAAGACTACTAAGCACACTCCCCCTCAATCAACCCAAATCCCTTGCCCAGCCGTTTGTGTTTAAAAAAAGGTCTCTGCAGTGTAACCATCCATATCCAGACTGCAGATGCATAGTCATGATGTACATGGAAATTCTGCAAGGTTATTTGAGGAAAGAAAAGAGAAAAAAGGATAAAACTGCAGGCAAATGCAGGCAAATGCCGAGAAACAAAGCAATTTGGTGGTGGGTGACATCCAATTGGTAGGAACCCTTTTTGGTGGAATAAGCTGCATACAACAAAATAGGGTCTTTCTTTGTTGGCGGTAGAAAGGTTTGAATCAATTTTCGTTTAGGCATCAGATAGAAGCCAGCAGATGATGGGTATGCTTAGAGAGCCTGTCAAGATTCTGGTCAAACCTAGAATCGAACAAGCAAGTATCACGAATCTTCAGACGCCATGTACTCAAGTAGTAACGAAATGCCACCTGTGAAGCCATCATACCAACACTTATACCACCTACCAATCTTCAACAACAATCCTTTCCCTTTAGACCAAGTGCGTAGTTGCGAATCCTTCCATGCTCTTCCACATTCTTAGCCTATCATTCCAACCGACCCTCCATCAGACCACGCTCACCGGCTACAACTTTTCATCTTATGGCTAATACCGTGCTCTTGTTCCCTCATTTGTCGTCAAGTCTGTGGCATGTTTAACAAGGAGTCATGTATACGAGTGATGCAATGGCATCGGAACGAGGCACTGTTAGTCAAAAAAAAAACATGTGGGAGCGTCAAATGAGTCCAAGTCTGCCTGTGGCATAGCAGAGCGAAATGTCATGGGGTCATCATTGCGCCGCAGACTAGACAAGGTATCTGAGCCTACAGGAACATCGCTCGCCGACTTCAATAGATACGTGGTATAATGTATGGACGAAGCTAAAGTACTTGGAATCGTAAACGAGCATTCACGGTACAGCACAAATCATTCAAATCCAGTTCATCTTCTCTTTAAGCCCTACAAATCGAAGGGCATCAATATATTTTAACAGACTTTGGTGTGGCCCAGATGCCTCGTATGCTGGTCATCATCGTGTGCCTGCCTGGCTTCAGAACACTAAAAAGTTAAGCCCTGTCAGGCAAGGCCTTGACCTTGGGCAAAACGCCGAAACTCCTCCCTGTATGTGCAGATAGGTATAGATATAGATATATCATACAATGTGAACAGGACAAAAACAATAAATGCACCGCTGTCCCCAACAAACAAAAGACAGGCCTTCCGGTCTGCCACATATAAATATGCTATGGTAACTCCAGATGCTCCGATGCTGATGCCAAATCACCATGCCTGCAGCGCCGAAAGATGCAATGAATGCAAATGATGAAAATCAACCCAATGTCC